TGAAATATCGCGATATTTCAGTGTATCGATATTTTCATACACCCCTATTAGTTTCTATGGCGGCTGTAAGCTGTTGCCCTTTTTGGACGCCATTTTTGCTCCTCCATGCTGTCACAGACGCTACCAGTGGACGGTATGGGCGGGGCTCAATCGAGTGATGTATATTCATTCAAGTCTATGTTCACCATTACTTGGCCTCAGTATGTAGTAAAACTACAGAAGCTGTTGTGGAGTGAGAATTATATATTTGAGTATTTAGCTTTCTTTCCTCTGGAATCAGGTCTGTTCTCTTTGTTGTTTAACAGTATAAACATATTATTCATTCATGAACACAACTATCCTTTCAGAAGCAAAATTCTGCAATGATTCAGAGATCCAGACTCTGACCCGAGAAGACCTGCATGAACTGTTTCCTGGACCTGAGAAGCTGAAACTGAGGAGGGACATCTTTGAAACAATACACAAGCAGGTGTTTATATATATAGAGGCMATTAAACCTACAAGTACCTACATTTTTATCTTGGTCAATATGTTTTTGTTTTGTTTTTTTTACACAGAAACCAATTCAAAAACTTCTGACAGATCTTCAGGCTTTCATCCCACAAGAGGCTTTTAGAGGTAGAGTAGCTATTCTCAAATATTGTATTTAAAAACAAAACTCCTACAAATATTTTGTAACTAGTAGAAAACCTTTCACTTTGTATCCAGCTGCTCTAACCAGCCATGGAGTCTTGGTTGACTACCTCCACATCCTGAAGGACATGAAGACTCAGCTGAACAACGTGCAGAGTTTCCTCGATGCTCATGTTGACCTTTTGGAGAACCTCAGCAAAGATGGATCGGAGCAACAAGGACAAGGTCAATATAAAATTTTTACCAGCATAATTAATTGGAGTGTAGGAAACCTTTTGTGTAGTTTATTTGAAATGTACGGTATTAGTTAATGGTTATTAATTTGTTAGTAAATGTAAAAGTTACCTTTTAGTATTTTCCCTTTCAGGTTCTTTTGGTAGTGGACACACTTACATGCAGAAACCAAACATCAGTGGAGCAGCTAGCAGTGGTAAAACACTTTCACAAGTTTATTTTTTCTTCATCCTTTTTTAAACAGTAAAATTTTCTTCATTACGTGAAATCAGTGTAACTTGATAAGAAACAAAACAAGAAAATCATCTTGAAACTTGATGTGTCAACTACTAGTTCCTTATATTTATTTAATTTAAGCAAATGCACCAACTCATTTTATCACACGAACAAAGTCCTGTGCTTTGCTGAGGAAGCTTGCAAAAAACTATGAATCTTGAATTTAGAATAATTACCATGTTTTGTGTTTTTTTGGTCGTAAGTATCCAATTGTTCAAGCTTTTTAGCTTGATTTCCATTTTGCAGATGTTTTACTGTTTTGTTTCTTTGAAATTTTTTGTTCATTTTGCCATCTTGCCTCGTAGGGTCTGCAACAGATGACTGGGAAACCCCTGGTAACATATTACTACATATTAATAAACATATTACACCTCTGTTAATCTAATTGTACCACTGTTTTTCAAAGAATTTTTTTTTACTTTTGAATTAATTTGTAACTCACTCTGGTCTTACAGTTCACATAGTTGGGTTTAAGACATACTTCTTTCTGTTTTCTGACTCGTTCTTTTTTAGCATCAGTGAGCACAGGTACTCGCCTTTTATCCATTTTTGGTTTTGGTCGAACAGAAAACACTACTGTTGAAGGTAACTTTTCCATTGAGAGTTTTATTCAGTTTTAAAGTAATCTATAACGTTTATTGATCTGTTAAAAATGCAACATACATTTTTTTGTAGTTTGGTTTATGGAACACTTCTCACTATTTTTATTTGACAGACTTGTCTCATGCTGATAAAAGCCAACATAAAATGCAGAATTTATATAAATGTATGTATTCACTTTTAGAAATAATCTGTACCTGAAATTAGTCTATTTTAAAACAGATCTAAATTCTATAAAAGTCGGGTTTATGAATTTTTTATTGCTGTTTCATATGATAACTTAGTGACACAGGACACTGGCAGACACTGTTTGAGCCGTTTTGATACAACTCCACAAAGACGTCAAGGTAAAATGTCACTTTTTACTGTCAAAGTGAAATAACATTTTAATTCTTGAACATAATGTTTACATGTTTTAAACTGCAGCTACGTTATTAGTCTTTGATCATTACTGAAAAACTTTTGGACATTTATTTATTTAAAACATTTAATCTGTGGTATTTTCTGTCTTTTGGATTTGAATCAAATTTAAAACTTATCAAAAGTGGGCACATTTCTGCTCAAACTTATTTCACTTTTCAGTTTTTATTAGCCTTTGGAAAGATKATGAGGTTTCTGCAGAACTGCTAAAAATACATGCTGTTTATCATTCTAAACTACTGATTGTAGTTTATTAGTCAATGTATTCCTTTATGCTGTTAAGTTGCAATTCTCTGTCTGAAACTTTTGTCATAATAACAGTGAATTACAAGATGGTGATCAGCGGTAAAACATTTGACGCACATCTTCAGATACTGGATCGAATACAGGGTAGCACTCAGCAGTTGAACTTGGTAAATATGGACAAGTACCCAGCCAGTAAGGATTGCCACGTCACGTTTGTCTTCTGTCCAGTCGTTTCTCGTGTCGGAACAGATGTTGAGGCAGCCATGAAAGAAGTTAAAGGAGAGACCAAGAGCTCGTCTGGTCTTTTATTCTGAAAAGTTGGGCAGCTCTGTCTCCTTCAGTTTTCTGTTTACTTATTTTTATTTTTTTATTTTTTGTGTGTGTGCCACAGGTTCTGGACCTGTCATTGTGGTTATGATGCACCATTCTCATGAGGCAAAACATGTTCCATCTTGTAAAACCTGGGACAGTGGCTCTGACAAAGACATTGACTATCAAAATGTTTTCTACCACGAGAAATTCAGTGGATTAATTCCCTGCAAAGAAAATGAAGATGCCATCTCTGCAATTCGAAACTATTTACTGAATCACCTTGGTAAATAAAGCAAAGAGCGTTAGCAAAGTTTAACACCGTCATAAACACACCCATGGTTTCTAACCTGAACCAAGAGGTGTTCACTGCATCTTTTCTTTTTCCTCGCAGAGGTGGTCAAGATTTCTTTAGAATGACAATCTGGTTTTCCTTTGATGATGCTGATTGTGGTGAAGGTGGTATGAAAATGAATAAATGGAAAAAATAATTTCTACAACGTAAAAACTAAAAACATTGCCAGAATTTGTGTCTTTCTTCAAATGATTAATAAAGTTTGTGATCAGATTCATTTTGTCACACCATTCTTTGCTGTGCTCCACAACATACAGAAAAATATAGTTATCTATATAATGTTTTTGTGTTTTGTTTTTGACAATTGAAAAAGTCTAATGAGTGCCAAGTTCGTACATTCTGGACTACTTCAAATATGTCTAAAATAAACACATTTTGTTGGTGTTCAGTTCACATACTGCAGTTGGCAGTGACACTAGATGTTGAAGAGCACAATATTTAACTCAATACAAGATCTCCAGTACACATATTTTTTAAAAGGCTGACATAATTAACCTCTTTTTATATTTTCTTGTGATATCTTGATGGTTTCAAAATAAAGTCTGGCTTTAATTAAAATACCACTGACTTCATCATTACTTACTCCAGAAATGTGCTTGTTCTGTTTAATGCGGTCAAAGTCACAAATTAGTGCAATGTGGCACTGACAGTAACTAGTTCATATTCTGAAACTGAATATTTATTATGAAGAATGAAAGCTACGTCTTATTTTGAAAAACCAAACCGGACGTTCGGAAGTGTTTACAAATAGCCGTATCCGGTCGGTGCAAACTAGCTAGCATGAGTTCCCAAACGTTGATATTTTTCCCTTTTAAACTGGACAGTTTCTATTAAAGACCGCAGCCGAATTGCATTTTAGACCAACAACATAATTATAAGCTAAAAAAAGAAAGGATTTGTAAAATATTCTGAGTAGCACAACTCGGTTTAGCCGTTCCGTGTAGAAACAACACGTTTCCATCTTGGCAGTTTGAATCAAGTCAACAGGTGTTAGCTTAGGGAAGCAAAATCAATAACTTTTAGATTCTTGTTTGTGAATGTCCAGCTTATTCATTTGTAATGTTTTAGTGGAATTAGTTTGCTGTAGTTATGGTTGTGTTTTATTAGTGTTCCCGTCAGGCTGAGCAACTTTAATTTGCTTATAAAATTCCGATGATGAATTATGATTTTTGGTCACATAAGCCTTAAATTGTGTTGTTTAAAAAGGGCTTGTTTACAAAGACTTCATGTCGTTAATGCACTGTCAGTTCRGAAGCTTTATTTTGCATCTCATACCAAGAATTGTGATMAAATCAGAGCCTTTAAACCACTTGCACAAAGGTTCAGACTTCAGGTAAGAAAAGGAAAGTGAAAAGAAGTTCAGTCAGTTTAAATAGAAAGAAAAMCWTGATGTAATTATAAACACATTGRCTGTTTCAGGTGACAGCACAACCCTGTCTCTGTGTGCCAACAGTGATGCAGCCAGCCTTCATGTCCTGTGGACCAGAGGCCGATGCAGCTGCCTTAGATGATGAAGATGAYGAAGAGGAGGAGGGTTGTGTGGGTGAAAATTTGTTTATAGAGGAGGTTATCATGGGCCAGAATGATCCAGTCACAGTGGAGGTCCATGAAGGCATCTCAGATTCTGGAGTCGCTATAGCTTCTTGTAAGTAGTACCTCAGATAAGAATGAGTTTTTTTTTTATCTTTTAGTAACTTTTTTGTGGGGGTGGGTAGAACTCTGATAATGTTTCATGTTAATATGATAAATAAGCAGGATTGTTGTTACAGTGCCCCTTAAAGTACTTTTGCCCGCTGTTACATACAGTGGTTTGCAAAAGTATTCATACCCCTTGAACTTTTCCATATTTTGTCACATTACAACCACAAACATAAATATATTTCACTGGAATTT